CTCCCATTGTTCTTTCTTTTGCCTTGTTAGATCAGAATGACTCAATATGTGTCTTTGCTTATACAAGGAGAGCTCCAGTGCCCCCTCCACCTCCCTCCAACCACCACTCAGCCTCACCCTGGAAATATCCTCCTACGCCCTCAGGAGACTCAAAGTGACATCTCCACTGCGTCTTTCTGACATTCATCTCAAAACCTTCACATTAATTTGCGCTATTATTGGCTTTAACTCGAAAAATAATAATGCATGACTGTATGGAATGTAAATCTTGGATTGCTGATAATAGGATTATAATGTATGTGCTCAACCCTCTGCCCTCTTGAGGCCTGATTTTTTAATATTGTAGCAGAAGTGAATCAAGCCAGCCTCGGGTGATTTGTGCTTTACCATATCTATACCTCTGTGGCCAAGGATGAAAATAGCGCTGCATTTAAAGAAAACAAAACATCACTTATTTTCAGTGTCACTGATTTGATGCTCTGATTTAAGACGAAAGCAGTAGCAGCACATCAGGCTTTTCTGTTGCAGCTTGAAGAGATGTTAGTTAACTGAGTAACTGGAGGTAAATCAGTGATTTTGTAAATGATCAACTAATTTGACTATTGATGACAGATGAGTTGTGTTTTGGTTCAGCAGCTGAATCTTTGATGTAAAATTCTTGGGAACGGTTTGATAAGGAGGTAAATTTGTGTTTCACAGAGACCACTGAGCAGCTGATGATTAAACTCAGTATTTCACATACACACAATACTGTATCTGTTTGAATCTGTGACCACTGCCAAGGAGCTTATGTTTCTGGTCCTGTCCTGACAAGTTTAGGACATGTGCCGAGGAACAGATGATTAGTTTCTGCTGCAGCTCCAGAGATTTTTTAGTAATAGATTTCTTAAAATTTTGAGACAATATTCCCATGATTCACAGAAGTTACTGTGCTCTCAGCCACGCCCCAAGCCCCGCCCACCTGGGCCCACCATCCAACCCTGCAAGATTTGGTTTCTCTGAGTGTTTACCTGAAATCTGCTATATTTTTATTGGAGCACTGAGAGAACAATCAGCCAATCAGAAGAGAGGCTCAGAGCCTCCTCTCTTCTGATTGGCTCAACGACCTGTTGTTACTAGAGCTCCAGAGAGAAGCCTGTGAGAGGAGATGTAAAACTACACTGAGATGGTTTTTGGTTCTTAAAACCACAAATATATCTTCTCATGGATCAACACTTCAAATAAAACACAGAAGTGGAAAATAATATACCTTTAACATCATGTTGCCGTGGCACGATCGTTGAACTGACTAGTACTTCTAATATTTAAAGGTCATACTCTGCAGCCATGGCGGTGCTTTTGTAACGGTAATATTAAAACTTCTCAGAGTTAATGTGGTAATGATTTATTGATGTTAAAATGCTACACACATATAGCACCTTTACATGTCAGGGGTCCACAGGTAGGAGTCACTGACAAAGGTTGGACACCCCCTGCTGCCGTTTTACTGTCTGAGTGAATACAAAACTGGAGGACTCAGAGAGAAGCAGACGCATGAGTGGTCAGAGTTGTATGCTCGCAAGATGTTTGTGTTTTTTTCCCCGCTGTGATTTGAAGAAATCCTTTTATTTTCAAAAGGAAGAAAAAAATAATACATTTGAAACAAGCAGTCAAAGGACACGGGTCAAACCTGCAACATCTACACCTTGTCCTGTTAGCATGTTAACGTTACCGTGGCTAAGCAAAAAGACAAAATTAAACTCTCCAACATTAGAGCCTATTTAACAAGTCTCAGTAGTATGGCACCATTTTCGGGCTGTCATAGAGTCCAGTGTTTTGTGATGAGAGACTATTTACAATTTAAAAAAAAAAAAAAAAAAAAGAATCAACAAAGGAGTTTGATAAGCATGTGTTTTAAAAATAGTGCTTGAAACAAGTGACTTGACGTAAAACTATGTACATACCTGTATTTGTCAAAGCTGGTTTGCCTTGTTTATATATACACACACATTTTTTTTTCACATTGTTAATAAGTCACATTAATCATATTAAATATAGCAAACATTTCTGCTGTAGAAAAAGAAAGGGAAAGAAACAAAGTCAATCTGAATGACATGTAACCACGTGTGTATCACATTGCAACATAAAACATTACAGCAATAATATTAATACCAACAGTAATGACATTATTTTGAACAATTAAATGGAAATCTCTTTTCAGCATCACCTTCTTGATGAAATAATTCTACTCTGCATCATTTTCCAGTCATTTCACTATGTACAAGAAACATTCAGAACTGTATCCGTCCAGTAGAGATCTCTTTTTAATACTCACATTTGGTTTTTCAGTGTTTGTCATTCTGTAACTACCCCCCAAGACCTGAAGTTACTGACCTGATATATCACCAAGTTTGCTACCATTTAAAAGAAAAAGTCTGACATTTTGGGGGAAATATGTTCGTCTTTTAACTCAGGCGACATATCCGGTGAGGAGATCCAGTGTCCTCATCATTGGAACGAGCCCATAGGTCGTTTGTGCAGTTACGTTTTGTTGTTAGGTGTCATCTAGCGGCCGTAGTAATTATGACGGGAGCAGAGGGAAAAGTGCGTTGACGTAATACATTGCGCGACAAAGTCCGCGTCAGGGTGAAAGAATGAGTGAAGAAAACACAGGTGAGCAGTGTTCAATTCTCACGTTAAAGTAGCAGTTTATGTTGTTGGACAAAGTTAACCACGTTGCTATTATTGTAACCATGACAACAGAGATCGTCTAATGTTGTGGAAGTACTTATTTTAACCCATATCACGATCTTTTCCTAAACCTAACCGCGTAGTTTTTTGTGCCTAAACCTAACCAAGCTGTGACCGTTATTACAGTAACCAAGGCGACGGTACGTAGGTACGCCGCTCTCGGATCGGTCCGCGTGTTTATTGTTGTAACCATGACAACTAACCATGACGCCCGTCGCCTTAGGGACGATATTTCAGGAGGCACTCGAGGGTTGGAGGACTTGTTGCTTTATAGCCATCTTCACTGCCTCCGACAAGATGATTTCCTAAGATGTCAGACTTTTCCTTTTAAAAACTCGGGTTTGATTTCACTGTAATGGATTTGGGTCTGGATTCACTGTAAAAAATAAAAAGAATAAGAAAAAAAAAAAGATTTTGTTGATTCCCTCAGGAGAGCGGGTGCAACTACTGCTTAGCAAGAGAACGGCGAAGGATTACATTTTCTTTTTCTATGTTTCTTTTTGTTCAAGAAAATGTCTTACACATCAACTTCAAAACAATCCAGGATGCTTACTTGCTGTAGGACATGAATAAATACAGAAAAATTTAAATTACGTGACTTCTTCTAATCAAGTCAGTTCAACTTTTAACAAAGACCAAAATAAAAAAAAAGAAATAAAACTCATCCAGAGGTCCAAGATTATCAACATTATCAACAACAAAAAAATAATAATAATTTTAATAATTCAAGTGGAGAAAGATGAAAATGATGACACTAACAATTGTACAGGAGTGTTTGTGCTTGTGAGGACATTAACCCATCACCTGAAATGTACCTCAACGTAAGAATAAAAAATGCAAACTGGTCCAACTTCCATCAGTTGCTTCAAAAAAAAAAAAAAGAACAAAAAAATAAAATAAAAACAGGGTCTGTTGATTTTATAACCCCAGTATCCCTGACTACAGATCTGCATTAAGTGGGTGCCTGAAATAAAGTGCAGGATATTTCTAGCCATAATTTCCATATTCTATACTTTTTTCAAACATACACAGATTAATCTCATTGTTGACGAATGAAACCGTTCAACAAAGAAATCACCGAACACTGAAAGATTACATTCTTGTTGCATGACTAAAAAAACTATGAGCGGTGCTGATGTCCTGTCAACTGCTGGTAACCAAAAAAAACAAACAAAAAAAACCTGGAGAAACGATGGAGTTACACTGACAGGGTGGTGTGTGTGTGTGTGTGTGTGTGTGTGTGTGTGTGTGTGTGTGTGTGTGTGTGTGTGTGTGTGTGTGTGTGTGTGTGTGTGTGTGTGTGTTGCATTCAGATACAAAGCAAAGCACATCGTCTGAACCCTGATACCAAATTAGAAAAGAGACAGAACTACATTTGGTGCTTGGTCAGATTGGTCAGACCCTCTCCTTTCTGTTTCTGTACATTCATGAAATTCAGTTCATCTGCTTCTGTTGGTTTTTGAATCTTACAATTCAAGGCTGCAACTATTTTTATTATCGATTAATATGCTGATTATTTTCTTGATTGATCGATGAATCGGTTTGTCTGTAAAATGTCACGCAATGTGACTTATTTTATCCAAATGACAGTTTTAAACTCAAAGATGTTCAATTTAATTAAAGAGAAAGAAAAACAGCAAATCCTGACATCTGAGAAGCTGGAACCAGGAAATGTTATTAACTATTTTTGCTTCAAAAAATGACAAAATATAAATCTAATCCGTTAACCTACTGCAAAGGATGGGTTGTATTGAACTTCCAGTGGTCAAGTGGTATCAGTCATTGACCCACCAATAACCCCCTGTCGATCCAAATGTTTCAGGGCTTCACTTCCTCGTGTTATCTTGATCTTTCATGGTACATAAAATATAACACATTCCTGCATGAAATGTCATAAATAGTGAATAATTAAAATCCCAGAGCTATCCAAAATCTAAAATGTGCTTGTATTATATCTGAATGCAGATTTATAAAACTCATACCTACCTCTCTGTATCACTTAAAATAAACTCAACTGAGCACTCTTGACTGCATTATTGTAAACAAAGGACTCATATGATAATATGACTTGAAATACAACACAATAACCCCCCCACCACACACACACACACACGAAAAAAATTCCAAATTCCAAATGAAAGAAAAGAAGAAAAACATAATATAGGCCTACGTTTATTCAGCTTTGTTTGTTGTGGTGTCAAGATGTATAAGGCTGCTCCAGTCATCGTGTGTTTCTGGCCACGAACAGAGGACTGCTCCTGGTCAGACGGTCAGAGGTAGAAGCCCGTGGCTGGTGGGTCGGGGAGGCTGGACAACGTCTCAGGGACGGGCATCTGGACAGCAGGGGGCGCTGGTCCGTTCCCATTGGGCAGAGCACAGCCTCCTGGGTAAGCGCTGTTCAGGATGCAGCCGTTCTCCATCTGCGCAGGGAAGAGGACGTCATGAATACAGAGAGCAGGAAGGGATATTATAAAATACAGTCATATATGTATGGAAGTGTACGTCTTAATAGCGATAGTGGCTTCAGGGTTAGAGCACTAATACACGTACTGTACATATGCTTTATCAGCTTGTTCCAGCTCCTCATTGAAGCTTTGGAAGAAAATATTGCATTTTTGTACGTTTGTATCATTTAATCAAAAGGAAACATGTATTGTTTTGTACACATTTCACCCAAATTCAGCCTGATGTATCTGGCATCTTTGCTATTAGACTTTACAATACAGTAGAATGGGTTTGAACAATGTTTGGCTGCAGTGTGAGGTTGTAATGATTGGATTGGAAAGGAGCATTTATTTTGAAAGGAGTATAATGAGTGAAAATTGTGGCAGTGAGAGCAATTTTCAATGATTACAAACGCTTGAGTATAAAAGCAATAGTCATATTTTTTGCTCTAAAAATATCGTCTGCTGCGCCTGCTTGAAAAATCCAACACTTTATAAACTCAACCACAAATCTAAGAGCTCAGAGTGGCATCTTTAAACTATTAATCCACACTTAATTGATCACTTTAGCCAAAATCATTCCATCAATGTGGTAGACAAAATAACAGAAAAGCCTGAGTCTAGTTTGATTAATGTGAGTCCAGTTTCAGCAGTAAATCTGAATCTGTTTAGTATTTTCGAGCCGACACACATATAGACATAAACACATAGACATACAACTACATTTCAAACTTTCTGTTTAAGAAACGGGTAGAAACTGATGCATTCTTATCAGTCTTGAAAATCTCTTGCACCATTGTTTACACATCAAGAGGACCTGACCCCTACAGGCAAGAAACCACAATACATGTAGTAATGAACTTCATGTACTGGATTTACCAAATCCTTTACATCTCCTGTCATCCTGTCTTCAAACACTTAGAAAACAATAGTGCAGCCCGGCCTTTTTTCGTACGTCACAAATAGAAAGAGAGAGGAAGAGAAAAACAAATTGTGCTGACACAACATGTCTTTTCCATTTTTGGATCCTGAGTAATGAACCTAAATAAACCAAACACAGATGTAGAACAAGCACAGCTCCGTGCCTCTTCTTTAAGAGGACCTATTATGCTCATTTCCAGCTCTATATTGTTATTCTGGTACTCCGCTAGAGAAGCTTTGCATGACACACAGTTTTAAAAAAGTCCTTATTTATCTGAAAGTTATGCAGCCCCTCAGTCGAGACTCTGACTGACACAGACCATATTAGCTCAGGCCAATTTCTTGTGATTGGCCAAAGCCTGCTGAGGGGCAGCACCCAGCACATGACAGAAAATAAAAATAATCTTTACATTTCTGCCTTGCATTGACCTATTCTCTTATTCTGGCACACAGTGTTAGGGGAGCAATGACTAATCTGATTTGATTCAATTTTGATCCATTTATCAAGGGTTTAATGGACTTTAATCAAAGTCGAATCAGCATTAGTCTCATTATTTAATATCCACACATCGTAGTTCTATTTCATAGCTTGAAATACTTATTTCATAAGAATAAAAAGATATAAATTCATGTGATTTAGCTTTGAATGGAGGGAATAAATGAGTGAACAAGTCCTAAACAATTTAGCTGCTGATACCTCCTGACGTGAGTAGGAGTCACAATAAGATACTCACAAATCACACTGCCCTTTATAATAATGAATCCAAGGACTGACAATAAGCAGAACAGTTTTATCTGTGTGATAAAGTGAGGTTCGCCTGCACATACATTACAATACAGCATAACAAATGAATGAAGGAATATTGGCGCATTAATCAAATGTATCACAGGCGTGTTACAGGATTCTGAATGTTGTGGACATGTGAAAATGACAGTGAGGTGTTCATCTTAATTATAAAGTTCCTTTAGTGATGAGCATGAATTAAATCTGCAAATGTCACAGCTGCCTGCCAATAAGAATCTGTATTAAATGTTGACAGATTATCATTAGGAGGCTGCAGTTGGACATTTTGGCACAACCATTAGAGTAAAGGTCAGAGTGTGAGTAAATTATCAGTCATCTGCTGTGTGTCAGGATCATTGACAGCAAATATCACAACAACTGGGCATTAATATGTGATAAAGTCAAAGTGTTGGACTAGTGGAAAATCTGAGCTGCTGTTGGTGTTGGATGAAAATACTGCAGATCAGCACGGTGACTAGAAGGCGTCCTCTGGGGATCACTGTAATACACTGAGGACCAAAGTAAGGCTGCAACTCATGATAAAAATCTCTACAACATTAGAAAACTTTGAAAAATGCCCATCAGAATATCGTCATCGCCAGCCGTGCTGAATCTGCCAGTAAATTCACTTTTCATCCAAACAGCATTCAGATAAATTTTCCCACCTAGTCCAACCACTAATTGAACACTTTACACGAAATATTATGCCACCAGGTTGTCATATGTTGAATTAATTTTGCCTAGTCCGATTTTGATGCATATGGAAACACACGCAGAATGAACTACGACATAATTTTACTCACACTCGTGACCCTTTTACTTTCAAATGGTTGTATCAGCCCACCATGCTCCAAGCTGGGCAGCCTCCCTACTGATAATACTGTTCAACATTTTAACCTCACAGAATTTTCTCTTATTGGGCAGGCCAGCCTGTTTGGGGACATTTGACTGCAAGACTCAATTAATTCACATTGCTCCCATCACCTAAAGAACTTTATATTAAGGATGACCACCGTCACCTGGTCATTTTCACATGTTCGCACAGCATTTCAGAAGTCCTGTTAAAGCACGCTTGATTACTGTCATGATATTACTGCAGGACAACTATTTCCTAATGCATTTATTTGGTTTATGCTTGTATTGGTAAAGTTTGATGGTGCACAGGCGATAAACGCTCACTTTTATCACACAGATTTAAATCTTTTTCCTGGCTTATTTGTCAGTACCGCAATTGGGATTCTCATTACTATAATAAACGGGCGTGTATGATTTTTGGTGAGTATGCCTTATTGTGAACTCCTGACTCCGTCAAAGGAGGGAATCACAGACAAAGCGCTAACTTGGTTTAGGGCAACTATTATTAGACACGCGTTCACTCCATTTATTCCTCCGGCATTTTTTTCAAAAGCATAAAGTCACATGAATTTGTAGCTATTTTTCTATTATTTCTTATGAAAATAGACGCTATTTCACGCACTTATGAATAGGAACTACGATGTTTGTTGATTATTAAAACTACGACATGCAGCAACTTAATAGCCTGAAAATAATCGACACTGTTGGATTACACAGTCCACTTTTAAACCCTTGATCAAATTGGATCAAATTCGCAACATCAATTTCCAAGCATCTAGTCCATTGCCTCCCGGCTTCCACATGTGTAGCCGCAAGAATAAGAGCATAGGACTCAATGCAAGGCAGAAAACTGTGAAGCATTTATTTTTATTTTTGTCATGTGCTGGGTGCTGGCCCTCAGCACGGTTTGGACGAACCAATCACAAGGAACTTGGCCCTGAAGGCTACATCTGGGTCGCCGTGTGTCCAGTCAGAGTCCTCCCTCGACTAGGGTGCGGCACTTTTTGCATCAACTTGTTCAGGTAATCAGATGGAACTTTTATTTCTTAACATGTGTGTCATGCAAAGCTTCTGACCTAGGGCGGAAGTACCAAGAATAAACAAATTACGAGCTACAAAACTGAGCAAACTCCAATAAGGCTACGCTCCGTGTAAAAGAAAGAGTCACGACAGAGCATGATCGCACTACTGACCTCTCTCAGAGCAGTCTGGTTGGTTTTGTTTAATTGTAAGGGATTTCCATTAGGCTCAGGAATTGCAAAAACTGGAGAGAACAAAAAGATCATGTTTTGTGTCCAGCAACCAATCTTTGTTTTTCTCCTTTCCCCTCTTCTTTTTTGCTATTTACTAATGTGAACGTCAACGAAAAAGGCCGAGACTGACACACACCTATTTTGTTTTTTTTCTAGAGTGGTTTTGTTCTGGAAGAACGCAGGAATGACAGGAGATTGTAAAGGATTTGTGCTAAATCCAGTACCATGAAAGTTCCAATTACTACATGTAATTGTTGGTTTTATCTTTGCCTGTAGGGGTCAGGTCCTCTTGATGTGTAAACAATGGGTGGCAACGAGTTTTCCAAGACTGAATAAGAATTGCATCAGTTTCTCCCCTACCCGTTTTCTTAAACAGAAGTTTGAAATGTTAGTTGTATGTCTATGTGCTTTTATGTTCTATTATGTGTGTCCGGCTCGAAAAATACTAAACAGATTCAGATTTTTACTGCTGGAAACTGGAACGTCACATTAATCAAACCGACTCAGGCTTTTTCTGTTATTTTTTTCTACAAAATTGATGGAATGATTTTGGCTAAAGTGATCAATTAAGTGTGGATTAATATGTTTTAAGATGCCACTCTGAGCTCTTAGATTTGTGGTTGAAGTTTTAATAAAGTGTCTAGTAGGAAATTTTC